AATTTGAAGTTGAAATGGGACATTTTGAGGCTACTTGAGGGGGGAAATTTGAACTCTTAACCTCAATGTACCTTTCCCAAATTTCTATTCATGCATTGCATATTTCACTTATAAAATATAAGTACAATCAACAGTACACACAATCTGCAAATCATCCTTTATAATTAGTGATCAATGTTACTAGTAGCTCCAGATGACAACATTGGGTTTGCCACATGCTGAAACCTTTCCCATGGCACAATTGCAACACATTCATCCAAGCTGCTACAAACTCAGGTCTCATGTTTCACTTCAGAGCCTGTTCTATAGTATGCAAATGAAGGAGGTCTAGCTACATGTCTTGAGCAAGTTCTGAATGAACATTGTTTATTCCATTCAGACTTTTTCTACTAGAGCTAAATTTTCAAGTTTGTGGTAAGATTTTGGAATTTTTATGAGAGTAACATAGTTTGTAATGCTAGAATGTATTGTTATGTGGTGTTGTTTTTGTATTTTTACTGGAAAAAGATGATTTTGAAAAAGACTTAGGCTTCAATCTGAAAATTGATATGAGGGCGCTGGTTTGTTACATGAGGGCGCTGCGCCCTTGTTCCCCTGTTCAGAAAAACCCCTGTGTATTTACAATCATAGTTGAACTTTTAAGAGCTCATGACACCAAAATACAACGCGATCTGATTGTAGTTGACATAACTAGTATTGGTTAAGCCATAAATACATGTAGATCAAGACATTTATTCATATGATCATGGCTAAGACAAAGAATGGAATAAATGGGTAGTGCTGGCTGAAAATTTTCACTTCAACACTCTTTATTCAATATGGCTCTTAAACTATCTGTTTATGTACCTATTTAGAGTCTGTATGTATTTGAGGAAAAGACAGTGTTGAACAGAAGATGATAGATTTGAGGATTTGGAAGTGTAGAAAATCAGAGTTGGACCCTATCACTGTATCAGTGGTACTAGTATTCAGTATCAATCATGGAGGGAGGTTGCTTGGGAACCCCCATGAAGAGCCTCACCAGTCAGATTCAGGAAGTGATGTAAATGAGTGATGTAACATTGGAAAGTAAGTTACACATAAAGTGGGGAGAAATGTTGACTTGTTAATTAATTAGTTGCAGGGGACATTTTGAAAATATTTATTGTACATCAATATGACCCTAGTATTCAAGAGCAGTTTATCATTTACAGAAAAATATGGACCACCAGTGGCTGGGAGACACAATATCATTATAAAAATTTATATTTCAGATTCAATCCAAGCATGATTATTGTTTATGAAGCCACTGAGTTTGGGCATCAATGGTCCAGTGGCTGTATACTTTACTGTTGCAGTGGACATTCAAGTAAGTATGTATCAGGATGTGCAAATGTACTGTAGGCCTGCATCAGGTGTAATGCCAGGTAAAAAGGATATTGTATATAAAATTATAACTTCACTCATATGGCTGTCATAATTCTGTGGTATGTGTGCATTGAAAGTGAGTTGACATGCACTTTATAATTGCACCCACTCAGTGACTACTACAAGCATGAATAGCGGAAGATAAAGTGTTATGCAATTCCAGGTCTTTTGTATCTGGTATGATCATGTCACTATGAAAGGATTTGTTCCTTGTAGAGATACACAATTGTAAGGCTGTGCACTGGGCAACTTTTAAAATCTTCAAAGCTGTACATGTAATGACCAAGTTAAAGACACCATACTGTTGTTAAGGGAAGCATGCTCTTTCAAATGACATGTAAAACTTAACTGTACATTCAGCAGCAAAAAAGGTGAATTCCAAGATGCATGTAGCTACCATGGAATCCAGAAACTGTAATTCCCTAGCTAAAGTTGTCTTTGCTTATATAGTTATAATAATTATATTTTATCTTCCTACAATTGTCTCCAAATCTTTTATTTGAATCAACAAATTGTTTGTTTGTTTGTTTGTTTGTTACGGCATGAAAAAGATTTTTACTCAAGATAAGAAGAAATTAAGAGTACTATTTGGCTTTCTGGTAACTTGACACTCAGCACAGACACTTTCCTAATTGTTGTTAGTGTAGAACTATTGCCTTGTGACAGTTCAGAATCAGATGTCTGTGCAGGTTTCCTTTCCCATTCTCCATCCTTGCATGGGTACAGTTGACAAAGAGTGGATTACATGTACCAGTAGTTATTATGTTGTTCAGCTATTAAACTTTAAATAATTTATTCACTTTCTAAAATTAACAATTATGAGAATGGCCTGAAGGCTCCTGCTGTAGTAGTGGACATATCATGTATAATCTATTCTTTCAAATGTGTTAATGTTACCATTAGAATTCTGAAGTAGCCATTTGGCTACCACTTCTCTCAAATACATGTTATGAGGTTAGGCAACAAGGAGAGTACAAAATGTTTAACAGGTTTGACAATTATCTTCTCCAACTATATATTATTATGCATGATAACTTTTATTGTATGAACAGTCAATATTAACTTTTTTAAGTATTTGTAATATAGAAATTAAAATTGGTTCAGTTCATAATTAGTGCCAGTTTATTTCTACATATAATTATAATCATATTAATTTGCAATTTTATTTCACCTGCAAGGCATGTGTACCTTCCATTTATTTATTGGTTGACAAATCATATCTATGACTTCTGTTTCAGGCAGTGTTGATAATTTGAAAGTCAACCATTCTAAAGATCGAGTAGAATACATAGACACACAGTTGCTGAATATCAAATATCCACTAGTACTATAGTAGTAATAAGTAGTGTCTTTCTTTGTTATATGTATCATGCATGTATGGTACTACTACTAGTATTAACCAAGGTCAGTGATAACCAATGGAGACCATGGCCAATAGAGACTCTAGCTTCTACCAGGCTCCCGGGGTTGCTGGGAAAAAGTGACTAAGAGACTCAGAATCATAGTATAAAATGTACATGTGCATACACAATCGAGAGTAATGTTTAGTTGCTCCCTTGTCTAAAACATGTGAACAGAAACTCCACTGGCCCTGTGGCCCACATCAACTACATTTTGTTGTGTACAGGTACCAACTGAATCAAATGACATAACAGATTATTTTTATCTGAATATTGTTTTCAATCAATCCTTTTTCAGGATTGGCATTTTTTTAAACATGATCAGCCTTTATTTCTTATGTGTGGTATTTATTGACTTGTTGTGACTTAAATGCATTTCTAGAAACGCTCCTTTTTATATCATAGTGACTAACACATGTATCAATAGAAATACATGATGATAACTTTGTGAAAACAACTCAAGACTTGTAGACTGAAGATCACTGCAGTGGTGAATTGTAATCCATGCCCATCACGAAAATCATACATGTTCAATTGTTCATTGCATAAAGTTTATAACACTAAGTGACTAACATAAACACAGATGACTACAGTATGGTGATGTTTCCCTGTAATATGGTCTGAACTGCTAGGTGTCTCCTCTGGTCGTGGTGATGCTGCTAGGTAGAGCAAATGTCAAGTAAACTTTATTTCACATCAGGTGCGTTCAAGGAAAAGAGAGGAAGAAGGAGGAAATTTTGTGTCTGTGCATCTTGAAACTCTGCTCTCCTGTAGGAAGGTTCCCTCAACTTTGTATTCTCTAGTTGGCTGAAAAGTTTAAAATCTGATGCCTCTTTATTCAGAACATGGCACCAGCAACATGGTCAACTTTATTGACAAATCATCAAAGATATAATACTATTGCTTTTATTCAAGTGCATTTCTCTACATCAATGGTTCGATGTATAAATGAAAAAAAAAAAAAACGGTGAAGACTGATAAGAAATTCAGGATCTGCTGATCTTCCATCTTTGAGTCTGCCATCTTCTTCAATGCCATGTGCAACAAATTTCTAATTTGCATTCTAACAATACACAGCAGCCTATCACAAAAACATAGTGAATCTTTATTCAAAAGCAAGTAAGATGCAATGTACTGCTATACATATCAAACATGTACACCTGGAACTGCAGCAAACAGATTTTAATATGTGGATTCAGGGTTTGAATGTGCATGAGGTCAAATATGAAGGTCCCAGGAACTTCTAAACAGTTCTCATCTAGACCATGTCTTGCCACTCCCCCAGGGACCTTCAAATTTGTCACCCCCGTGCATGTGTAGTTTGAACCCTGAACCTGACACTAGAATACTGAATCTGACATCCTCAAATGAATCTAAAACGTTTCTGCAAGTGTCATCCTGAACTTGAGTCTTTGCAGCTCATCACTGAACTTCATCACTTTGTAAGCAAAATTATGCCACATCTAAGTTCTAACTGATACAAGTAAGTTGTATGAACTTGAACTATCAGCTTTTCAATGTGTACTTCCATTTTTAACTGGCTGTGCTTTATTCCCTTTCAGTTACAAATGTTCATCCTCTGTACTGTTAATTCTATGACAGGAATCGCAGGCTCTCCACTTCAGAATTGGAAGAACATACTACAAGTTAACTTTGCCAAAAATTATGAATGGGCTATAAATTATAATATTTTTACAACTTGCAAAACCTAGGCTTGATTTCCAACAATTCCAGGAACTTTCCTCACATTCTTTTTTTTCCCACGTTTTGCACAAATTTCTTTCTTAAGATCTGTAAAATTGCTATAAAATTCGTTACTCCTTCTTTCGTGTCGAAAGATGTCCAGTCTATAAAATCATTCTTCAAGAAGTTCCAATCCCAGAACACCTTTCGCGGGCCCCAAAACCTAGAAGCCCCCTCCCCCACTTTCGGTTCTCTGGTTTCTTTCATTTTGAACGTAGTCGATGTAACTAGGATTTAATCATCTTCAACTTTAGAATAAGTGGATCGTAATCAGCCGTCCTTAATGCACTAAAGTTCAACAGACGGTAAAATGATTGATAATTTCCGTCACATTTTGGTTTTAGCCGAGACACGAACAAAGATGGCGGACCCTTACGCACACGCACTTCGCTCTTTCTCACCCTTTCACTCAAGAAATAACCGAACAAGAAGAATGAAATCTGTACTCACTGCTTTATTCAATACTCAGAATCACTTTCTGCGCTCCTCGCGTGGAATATCTATAAGTTAGGCCTCAAAATGAGCCTTGATTACTACAGTACGACCTGGACACTACATTCGCAAGACCATCCCCCATGCCGCCACATGCCGAGCTGCGCCGAACGTCCCCGAACATTCACGAAACATACCGAACGATGATAATTTTTCAGATTTATCATATTTTAACTCTCTATACCACAAAAATCATAAACAATCAATCGTGTATTATTTTATAAATCATTTCTGGCAGAAAAAGTCATTTAGGTAGATGCATTGAACAATTTTTGTGTTCGGACTTTTACGGAAGTGACCGAACATAGCCGACGTCAGGAGGCCATCTTGAAAGTGTGGCGCAGTTTCAGAGGAATTTTTGGCACAGTTTCTTCGAGACATTCCGTACTTTTCCGACCGCATATCGGCCTATCGGTTAATACAAGTACCCTGTATATACTTTCGTTCCTCTTTTAGTTTCAATCTTGTTGAAAATTGGTGTAGGAATCGGGAGAAAAGTAGGCAAAAGTAGCGGAACGTCGATCGTGAAAAAGGAACTGTATATACTGAAGCACTTCGAAAACGTGGCGTCAGCATGGGTGACTTGAACATCGCTGTCGTCTGCTCAAGCAACCAGAACAGGAGTATGGAGGCTCACGCCTTCCTCAGGTAAGGTGGTGAAGTTATAGTTAGCAGCTTATACTAGTAGCTTCCTGGCAAACGAAATATTTTGTGTGAAAAATGACGGGACTATTTGCAAAATTTTGCCCCCCTCCCCCTTTATAAAACTATGTCAGTCAGTCACTGTTAGTGTTACCAAGGAGGTTTAAAATACTCCATGCTGTTACATAGATTTTAGAGAGGTTTAAAATTATTATGGTTTCCAGTTTTGCTACTTGGTGACCAATGTGTGTGCGTTTGTATGTTACTTCTTGTTAAGGCATTAAGTAGGTTTTTAAAAAAATATGTGTTGCACCTGGGATGAAAAGGTACATGAACAATTCTGTACTTCTATGTTTAGGATGGGGGTACATTACTCACCTTTGTGCCCCAAAAATATAATTTTACTTGGGAATTTTACATGAGAAGGCAACTCCAAAGTTTTGTTCAACTATAACAGCCAGTGAGTGCACAACTAAGTACTAGTATGGCAGTAAGGAAAGAAGGGACTGGACTTTCCATAATTTGACTGGACTTTAAAAAGTGAAAGTAAAATCACTTGTTCATCAGCACAAATTATGCTGCACTGGCTTAATGATATGCAAATGTACTTCTTCAACTACATGCACACTGCCCATACATGATGCACCTTTCAGTGTAACTGTTTGTGTGTGTGTGAACCTTCCCACCTGCACATACAATACGTACCTGAGGAGGGGGCTGGTCTTTGGGGTCAGATTCTCTTCAGAAGTCTATGTTGCTGGAAGAAAAATTGCACACATTTACTCTTGTGTATAACACATTTATAAATTATATGCAACTTAAGTGTATGAACATTCACTATCCCATCTTCATGTACTTCCATGCCTATACATGTATTATTCTTTCAAATTAATCAAGAAATGTATGTCAATATGCACATGATCCAACAATAGTGTGTGTGTGACAGTGAGTCCAATATGTGTGTTTGAGTGAGAGAGTCTGTCTGTGTGTGTGTGTGTGTGTGTGACCGTCTGTGTCTGTAATTATTGTGTGTATTTGTGACTGATTGATACATACATGTGTGTGTATGTGTGTGAGTACAATGAGCACAATGTATATGCCATCCAAAATTTGTGACCCTAGCATGTCCAGATCACGAGATATCAAAACTGGAAGTTCTGCTGCAGTACCTAGGAAAGCCGCCAGGGGGCCCAAAATCTAATCATTTCTAGGTTTCATAAAGACCTACCCACCTACCAAGTTTTACTCCAATCCATCCACTGTTTCTCGAGTTGTCTTGCTAAACCACACACACACCCACACACACATACCCACAGACAAACGCTACTGAAAACATAACCTTCTTGGCGAAGGTAACTAACATTACTCAAAACCAGCTAGCATAGGGTAAGAGGGTAAAGTCTGCCATCTCTGCTTTTTTAAGTTAACTTAAAGTCAAATCTCTCCCTCCTGTGCCCCTGCAGCAAGAAAGGTTTCCAGGTGAAGTCCTTCGGTACCGGCGCGCAGGTCAAACTACCCGGACCTTCTCCAGACAAGCCCAACGTCTACGACTTTGGAACAACCTACGACCAGATGCACCAAGACCTCACGCAGAAAGACCTCTCACTGTATCCATGGCAACAATGTGGTAAACAAACAAACAATCAGGGAGACCTGAAACAAATCAGAATTCATCTGTTTAGACAAGGATTGGAACTATGACCTCGGTTTCTTTGAAATGTTCTTTTTCTTTTCCTCAAGTATTAGTTGTTTTTCAGCAAATTTGTCAGACAAAAGTTTGATTAGGTGAGTACTTATTTAATTGTACTTTTAAATTTTTAATTTAAACACAAGTTAAAGTATAAGTGGTATTGAGTAACAGATATTTGTTCTGGTGTTTTTATATACATGTATATCTGATCATAAGTAAAGTTGAATTATATGTTAAGAAAATTTGATTCTGTGTAATTATCAATTAAGTAATTTGATTCAAACTTGTATCTTATGCATTTCTGTCTTTAATACATATTTCTTTCTCTATTTCAGGAAAGGCTACAATTAACTATTGATTTATAAATCAGAGTTGTATATATGAAATAAAGGTGATGATAAAATGCAATAACATCATGGTATTTTCCATTTTTGATATGGTCCAAGACAGAGCTAGATATGGCTTGTTGTTCCCATAGTTGTACGCAGGAGATGGCCACTCCACTAAGGATGTTCATTTCAATAATTTATGGTTATAAAAAGGGGTGGGTACCAGTTTTGCTGAACCTGATCCTGAATCGAAATAACATCTAAAATCCGAGTAAAAAATCCTAGAAGTTGTGAAATTATTCTTTTTTTCCAGACTTGTAAAGGTACAAATACATGTACATTTAATCTATATACATGTACATTTCTATTGAGACATCTTGTTTGGTTATCTGACCATATTTTTTCCTGAATCAATCAATATTTAGCCAAAATTGTGCATGATCCTCTGGACTTGGACCTGGTCAAGCCGAACCAGTACCCACCCCTAAGTCAAATTCAAAAACTTGTATACTAGTAACTTGTTCCTAGGGCAAAAGTATTGATTTAAAAAAATTTGCTCACAATAATGTCCTACTAAGTCAGCGCAGAAGTCCGGAACATGAAAGTGAAGTGACCCAAGTTCTTTAGGGTGAAGACAAGAAGTTTGAGACACTGCTAGAAGTTAGCAGGCAGAAAGAAAGTAAGAACAAACAAGACATGTAATTGTTTCTTCTCTGCTCCCTTGACTGACACAGTCTTACCAAATAAAGAAACAAACTTCTACTACAGGCCTTCAAGGAAGATATCTTTACTGATCTACTGATACCCATTCTGGTCCGTTAAAGGGGGGTGGGGGCTTCCATGATTTGATAAGCTGTGTCACTGTTTGCATGACATGACTTCATAGGCGATATACACTCATAAATTTTAGTTTTCCTCTACTAAGACAAACAAAAAACAAATTACTAGTATTGCTTCAAATTAACAGGGACAATGTCTTCATTCTGATTACAAGCTTCTGTGAATGAGAAAGTTTTTTTTGTGATCCCAAACTGAGAGAATGCTCCCTTGCAGTGAGAAGCTAGATTCTTTTTTGCTTCCTCATTATTTACAGTCCATGGATATCAAGTTTGAAGAGTTTAGGCAGTTACAAATGTATAAGGCAAGTTTCCAAATAACCCAGTACCTGTTGCATCCAATATAATCTAATCTCAAAATGACCACAACAGTTCAGTATTGAAGATTGACAGTTATAGTTACATGCAACCATTCCTTCCTTATAAAGACATTCTATAGATAGGAATAAGAATTTAAGCATAGTTCTCACCAGGCTGTTTGAGCGTAGGGGCCCCCCTACGCTGTGACTTGGACCCCCTATGCTGTCATTTAGCCCCCTACTAGTACACTGTCTTTCAACCACAGTAGGGGTGTTTTTTGGGTGCAGAAGCTTCATAAATCTTTAAAAAAATGGAAATGTAACTTTGGAATGAAGCTATAACAAAGGGAAAACAAAATCTGTCCCCAAGTAAGCAAGAAAAAGTGTCTCAGGGGGTTATGAGTTACAAAATTTTTCAGGGAAAATATCAGACCCCTTCTTTTTGGGACTTGATGCGCGACTTGCGCCGGAGAAAGTTGCCCTCCTATACCCAACCCCTACGCTGTGAAAAAATCCTGGTGAGAACCCTGTTAAGACCATACAAATGTATTAAGCAGTGTCCAATTTTGTTGTGGAAAGCTAGCAAAACTTGTCAAATAAACTAATTTATTATTTTCAACCTTTTCACAGACTATCCAGTGCTCCCCTCCAGTCAGCTGCTTTAAACCGCCTGTATCCGGTTCCCTCTGGTTCTGGCAGGAACGCAGCACTACCAGTATGGCTCTATGAAAGTATAAGCACCTGATAAACGTATACAAGACATAATTAGACGGTTAAAACAAAAGTATCCAGTTTTGTCAGGCAAAGCCAGAGAGTAAGCCTTCATATTACTAGTAATAAAATTTGATGTTTGACAACAAAAGAAGAGTAAAAATTATATGATGAAAGTTACATGTGATTGTACGACATTTCCCCAGCCCATTTCACATAAAATCTATGGAATCATATCATTACCAAGGTAACAGTTACTCAAGCAACTGGATAGATATTGAAAATGGTCAGCCATTTCATTGCCTGATGAAAGGTAGCTACATGAAACATCTGACTATTCGAAACCTATCCAGTTGCTTGAGTAACTGTTAACCTTAGTACCTCATAATCTGGACGTCTGACCATAGCATAGATTCTGACTCGGAAATTCAAAGTGATGCTGTATTGCCATCGAATGCACTGTGCATCACATGTATGCCCCCTTCCTGATGTGCAATGGACTATTCCACAGCCACAAGCTTTGCCTGACAAAAAGGGGACATTTGTAGTATGATTCATATGAAAGCCATCGCTGACTAATATCTGCCCAGTAAAACTCAGTTGAGGGTAACTGTTTTACCTTACCTGTAAGGCTCAACTCTAAACTGCTCTAGGAGGAAGATGATTTTGTAGTTAAAGGAATGATGTCTAGGTGGTCTCAAATGTTCAGGGTCAGTAACACCAGAGTTCAAAGATGAAACGGCTGCACAAGGCACTGGATCAAGGCAGCAATGAGGTTTGTTCATCTGACCTACATTTCAATAGGGCATCGTTTTCAACTTCAGAAAACGGTTTCATTTTGAGATTTAATGAATTTTACACTTCATAAACATGCATACTAAGTTTTTGTGTGGAAAGCCTATTTGTCTTGTACTGTTTAGAAACTCAAAAGCTTCCTGAGCCCAATAGTAGCAACGTGTCTTTTTCTTATACTCTTTTCTTGCTTATTTCGGTCAATATGCCTGGGTTTTTTTGTTTTCTTTTTTGCTGTTTTAAAATCGTGCATTGTACACATACAATTTTCTTTTTGCCTGTAATGGCTCAATTGTTTGTTTTCTTTTGAATATTTTGGACTTGAAAGTATTCTCAAGAAAAAAAGCCTCCTTGGTAATAGTATTACATTCATAAACTGATGAACCTTTGAGACCACCTTTGAATCATAAAATGTCATACCCTTAAAATGGATCCCAAAATGCAGCTGACTGGTGGGAGACTTGAAGTTTGATTTTTGTCTGATATTCCATGACCTGGATTAACCAATAAGGACAGTGTACTCCTTCTGAAATACAAGGTGACTATAAAAGTTTTAACGCAATGTAAATCTTCACCCAAGGCTTATATTTCCAGAGCTCCCCTCTTGATCCTTGAACAATACAGAGTGAGGTATTGTCTTTTTAAAGTGTCCTTTGGATGCCATCTTCAAGTAGTCTTAAGATAGGCAAGGTCCCTGTCCTTAAAAACTAGAAATGCTGTACCCTCCTTTCAGTCGTGTGCAATGTACCTACTAGTAGTCTGGTTGTGATCATCCCTGTAAAGTTCTTGAGATATCTTCTTGGATCTTTCCATGATAATATATAAACTTCTAACCCCAAACTAAATGGTGAAACAGACTGTTAAGTTCCCACCTGAACATCTTGGGAAGCAGTGGAAGACAACAGATCACAGAGAAGAAAAGAAAACACAAGCTGAAGACCCCATGGTCAGCCAGCAAGGAGACAGCCAAACAACCAGTCACAACTTCAAGTTCCAGAATGTTCCCAACACAAACGATAAAGTCCTGAAACTGAGCTAAAAGTCTTGCAGAAGAATGCTGTAACACACTTGAAGACATCTCAAGGTATGACTAAGATCTTTGCCACATTTCACCTGGGTTATACCATTTCAGAACATGGGGAAAACTTTGGAAAGTCTTCATGTTTGGAAAATGATGTCCCCCATGGCTTGCTTTGGTTTAGCCCATACCAGTATTTTGCACAGTAAACAAATATCTTTTAGAGAAGGAGATTGTAAGTTGGTTAATGCATTCTAATTGAGGTCCTCTTCTAGATTTTAGGGTGATAAGAAATATCTAAGTTGTGAGGAAGGTAGAAAGTTTGTGGAGGGGGATAAAGTTTTGAGGTCAGAGCCAGGGAGTTGGTAGGTTGTGTAGGGGTTAGGTAGAAACATTGAGGAGGGGGTTAAAAAAAGTTGATTTGAGATGGGGCGTCATTGAGTTTGTACATTGTGAGGGGGTGAGAAAGGTTGTAAGTAGTAGAGAGGGTAAGAAAGCATATGGGTTGTTGGGGTTTGTGAGAGGGAAGAAAGGTTGTGAGGGGAGTTTAAATCTGCACGTGGTGAGGGGGTTGGAATTTTGTGA